CATGACTCAACAGGAGAAAACAAGAGGAAAGAGGGGATTTTCACTAACCTCCATCTGCAGAGAAGGAATTTCTAATCAAGATAATTATTGACAAGTCCATGACCATGCATATGGTCACTTGTAATGGTAAGGAACACAGAACTATTCAACTAACTAACCTAAATGCCAATGGAGAAGTTACTGAAGTAGAATATTTCCCTATGAGGCAGTTAAAATGTTGCCTTTACCAGAAAACAGATGATAAAGCCAAACATAGAGTGTTTAATAACAAAGTCCATGACCAACTGGGATTGGCCTGGTAATGGTTAAGGATCTGCCATTAGCCGCTGTATATTTAGGTGACACGTTTGATTTACCACAGACTAATCAGCCTGAGGGCATGGACTTGTACTGGAAGGATGGGTTTGTTGATGTGCACAGACATACAACAAGAAAGACACATGCAAGCAAGCACCTATTTGCAAACACACAAATATGCACACACACAGACACTACCTCAAGACTCACACAAATTTAAACTGACAAGGTGCCAGTGCCACCCTATGATACCATTGGAACAGTTCAAGGTCCAAACCTTGAGTCTGCAGATATATAACATGCTGCTAAACAGCACTGGAAACACCCCAGTCTAACGCCCCCACCCCCCAAAACACATGCCTGAAAATCCACAACCTCATTTCCCCCAGCTATAACACTCAACAAGGGGAGAGTAAAAAAGACATTAAAACAGCAGATACAGGCAGGATATAAAGACCAGCTAAACAAAAACCCAGGGCAGAAAACTGCAGTCCTCACCACCTGCAGTGAAGTACTACTGTGTTCATGTGCTAGAAACAGAAAGAGACACGGCAGGACTGGATAGGAAAGTACAGAGGAGACTAGATCAGTTGAGCAAGGGGGACTTTGAGCAATCGCTGACTAGAGTGAGATTCAGGTACGAGGCAAAGCAGGAAATGGAGAGTATGAATATCATAGTGTCTCACTGGACATAAATGGGAGTAGTGTGTGGAAAAAAACACCATAAACGACAAAGTGACACCAAAGACTGTATAATTCAAAATGGACATAATCTTCATGATTTAACTCATAGGTTTCTGAAGAGACATTGTGACACCCAAATGTGGTTGGCTCTGGCCATCACCATCTTGGCGTCTGACTCCTCCTGTTCCCGGACAATTTTTTTTTATCATTCTACAACAAGGGGTTGTACAACAAAATGCAAGCTATAGTCACTTTACGTTACTAATATGTATGTTATAAATATTTATGGTGCAGCGCGGAGGAAGAATTGAGGAGTCTCACAGCCTGAGGAAAGAAGCTGCTCTGTAGTGATACAGCTGTGGATACTTCTGTATCGCTTGCCAGACGGCAGAAGACTGACAGAGTGAGTGGTTTAATGGAGTGAATGACAGACGGACATAAACTCTTGAAAAGCAAGTGCAACAATTTCAAAGCGACCCAGTCATCACCTAACTGACTGTGTATTCTGAGATTTCTAAGACCCTTGTAGTGACTAAACCAACTCAGATCTGTTAAATTAGCCACACATTCAGCCACGCTTAAAGAGGTAGCCGACTGCTACCTCCAGCATACAATGTGTGCAAACAGCATGATACACTTATTCTTGTCAGTGTATCTTCCTAGTTTTGTGTGTAGATAGGGATGCATCATATTAGAAAGGTTAACATAAACTGACATATTTAATACAATTTCCTGAATATGGCAAAATATGTAAATGCTGCTTTGAACTGTTGAAGTTGTGTGTCAATTTATAAGTGACTTTGGTTATCCTGAAAAGTCTGTAAAATGTCTGCCATGACTTCCCAGTAATGTCTGCCTAAAGTATATATTGCCTATACTGGCGACATGGCTATTAGTCATTGGATATGGATATACTACTACAGCATACTTTTCTCAAGTTCTCAGAGTTCAAACTTTAACTAGCCTAAACTTCTCATCTTCCTTTTGCAGTACTCTGGAGCATGAAAATATTGCTTATTTATTGCTAGTATTTAAATTCCTCGCTGCATACCTGCATTGTTAATGCAAGTATGAATCATCCCTGCATGTTTCATGAAATACACAAATCAAATGTGTGAGAACTGGCAGTTAAGTCTCAACAGTACTACATGTACCACACTGTGATGGGAGATTGTTTGCCGCTGCATCATCCCTCACAATCCATTACACAGATCACTTAAACGTACTGCATTTCTGATATAACTACTGACAAACTACAGTATCTTATAAACTGACTGCATTCATGGACAAACAAAGCTCGGTTTGCTTAGTTGCAGTTGGTAAAGGAGAGCGGGGTGAGAAACAGGAAGGGAACGGTTGAAAGCATGTTATCATTCGGCCTGCTGGGGGATCTATACCAAAGCCTTGACTAAAGACAGACAGACAGCACTAAGCAGTGTTACACAACACAACACATGTACTGGCCTGGGTGACAGGTGAGCGACTGAGGCAATGAATGTGATAACACAACGAGGATGAGGAAAAGCAGAGGGAGAGATGTGGAACATGAAAGGAAAGGAGACAGAAAAAGAGGGGGAAGCAAAGGACCGAAAGACAGAGAAGCTAACAAACAGAGAGATGGGGAATTAAAAAAATACACCAAATTATTCAGTTTATTTCTTGTTATAATACTTCAGCATTAAAAACGAGCAGATTCTGAAGGTGTCATACAAGGGAAAGAGAGGCCAGGACTAAATTTAGAAAATGTACTGGGGATTATTAACAACTGTATAACCTCTTTTCAAACCAAATGACTGACTAGGTATTAACTGTGAGTGCTGAATGGAATGGAAGAGAATGGAAGGCTATAGAGAAGAGGAACAGCTCAATTTGCATTTTAAAGTATAAAAGTCAATACTTATTCTGAAAAAAGAGGTAGGTTAGAAGTGACAGTGGGTCCATTGGTAAGGATGAGTGGAGCACCACACTATTAAATGAGAAAAATGTTGAACTGGTAACTAGATTATGTCTTCGGAGGGAAAGAGGTATTTTGCTGCTGCTGAAAACTGATTTATTCATTGATTTCAACCATTCTTCCTAACTGGCTTCCACAACACAGTAGTTACATCACACAGTATGTGATTCTAACTATTTATTTCTCTCAACTAGAGGTGGTATGTAGATGTTTCTCTCAAAATGTAACTATGTCAATTTCTGTGTAAAAACCCCACTGTGTTAGACCATCTTTCTCTTAAGAAGAGATTTGTTAAGGTCATCTCTGTCTCTGAGCAGGAAACTGTGGGTCTCTGCTTCAGCGGGAACTAGATGGCATTCTGCTCTTTTCTCTCCCTCAACAAAAGCTGCATGTCAACATCTCACTCTGTCGCTGTTTGCCAGTCTGGAAACAGAGAGTGATGGCACCATTTAGAGCCAAGTGTGAATACACTCTGACATAAGGCCTGACAATAGAACAGACAGTCTCTGTTTGCAAGAGACCTAAGATTAGACGGCCCAAGAGGAATTCCCTGCTGGAGAGATTAGTTCCATTGATGCTGCTTTCCACATAATATTGAGACAGACTGTGTGTGTGTGTGTGTGTGTGTGTGTGTGTGTGTGTGTGTGTGTGTGTGTGTGTGTGTGTGTGTGTGGACTCAATGTAAGCAGTGGATCTTGGACAAGTTGCCGACAGCCAAGTCAAATTTCTTTCCACATCTTTTACTCTCTGTGTGGTGTCTGTCTGGTCTCTGCACCTTCTCATCACGAGTCCCATCCTATAAGTGGTGGACACCATATGATGAACACCTGTTTAATCCAGTATCATACTTGCCTCAAAACAGTAAAGCCCTTCTCTTATTAACTGCAAACTCTAGCTCAAGCCTTCTGGCCACAACTAGATCACAACAACAAGCCATCAGATAACCTTGCACTGATTGCTAGCTCAAACAGAGGAAAAACAGACCATGGAGTTTTACACCTTGAACTGGACTAAACTGATTTTTGTATGGTTCAAAACTGTATTTAAATCTGAGAAAAAAATCTGTGTAGCACAACTGACCTTTGACTTTATCTAAATGATTAAATAGATTATCCTTTTGTGTGAGTCACATATCTAATGCTGTATATGCCAAAGGTATACTAGAATCCTGTCATCCTTTAAGTATCCATTAATAGTGTCACTACACCAGTGGTTTGTCTGTAGCAAGGATTTTAAATCCATTAGTTTTATTTGGAGATTAAATGTTCTAATCTTGATGACACAAGCCTCTGTCATTCAAATAGCTCCAATATAAATCTGTAGAGTGCTGATCGAAAATAACAATTTTGTAATTTATGCACATTTGTACAAAACCACTGACAGCATGAAGACATTAAGGTCATCATAGAACAAAATAGAATTAAATGCATGGACTGAGTGCTCTATATGACACAAATGTTTAATGATTTGGAGATTTCTGAAAACAATTCTACAGGTGGTGGCAGTGGCATTTGGTATCAATGAACAGTTACTGAATGTTGAATGATATCCAATTGACATAAACCAAAACATGTCTCTGTTCCTGGTGCTCTAATCTCTTAATCTTGTAGCCTGATCTCCTGCTTCTGTTGGTAGACTGTTTCAACCGGACTAACTGGTCAGATAACTTATTTTAGTGCTGTGTAGGCACGCAGTGACCCCACTCAACCCTGATGACCATGCACTAACACGCACATTTGGACAATGTAGGCTTTCAACCTTTATCCTCTACATGTATGACTTCATTCAAATGTAATGTCCCCCTCTTTATAGTATCATATATTTTCAGCCCTTGCTGCAATGTTCAGCTTTTTATCTCAAGTTCAATGTACTTTTAAGATAAACTCATGGGTATTATCTAAATTTAAAATGTACTTCAAATACTTCAAAGTAGTAATCATTCATCAGTAGAATCGGTGATGTCCTTGTGATTGTGTTGAATTTTATGACTATAATATTTAACTTCTGCTCATCGTCTTTTAGTTTATGCAGAGAACTCATGAGGAAGAGGTGAACAGCCACTTACCCTTCAGTTTCTCCACCACACTCTGCCCGGCTCTCTCTGCCACCCGCCCATCCTCCCTCTGGTAATGGTCATCCAGGAAACGGGCAGTAGCTTCTGACAGGTGGACCTTGCCCGCCACACCCAGCTGCTCCATTAGGTTTGCCAGATTCACATCATTTGACCATACATCAAACTTGAAGCGCTTCATTCCCAGGATCCCACACAGGACGGTGCCTGTATGGACACCAACACGCATGCTGACGGTCTCACATGTCTCCTGACAGAACTGCTCAATGGCCTGGATCATGCCCAAGCCCATCTCCACACAGCAATAGGCATGGTCTGGTCTAGGTTCAGGGCAGCCAGCTACACAGTAGTAGCAATCTCCCAGAGTGCTGATCTTCTCACAACAGGTTAGTTCACAGAGCCTGTCGAAACGTCCAAACAGATCATTGAGAAGGCCCACCAAGGCTGGTGCTGATTTATTGGCAGACATTTTAGTGAAACCCACTATGTCCGCAAAGAGGATGCTGACGGGCTCCATGCGTTTCATATTGAAAGGCCGGAAAATGATCTGTCCACGGGGGATGGAGGTTTTCTTGCGTTTGTGATTGTTGTGGGGGTGATTCTTGGGGTTTGTGGCACTTGTGGCTTGTGAAGCTCCACCGCTTCCTACACCACCCACTGAGACAGCTGAGGCAGAGCAGGCACCAGAGGAATAACGCTTACCAGAGTTCTCACCACCGCCCTCATCATCACCTTGCTTCATCAGTTCATCTGCAACTCGCCGCGGCATGACTGAGTGGATCATACGCTCCTTCAAGGCCTTCTCCACCTCTAAGTCTTTGCCATGCATGATCGCCTGTCCCACTTTGAGGAAGGTGCTGCGGGAACGCACCTCTGACATGATGAACAAGTGAATGCCAATGACGTGGGCACACAAATGGAGCAGAGCTTTAGCAGGGCCCAGCCAGCGGAGGGTATCTCCTTCCCAGTTAGAACCTGAACCCACTAATCCTGTCCCCCATTCAGTAGTGTCATAACTCCTTTGAAGCAATGGTAGCCATTCTAATGCCTCAAACAATATAGAATACAGGAGCCCCAGCAACACTGAGGCATACAGACGGACATGGAGGACACTGTATAATAACAACAGAACCTCCATGCACAGGGAAAAGGTGCCCACAGGGGAGATGCAAGGGGTTGGAGGTGGTGCTACTTTGTCTGGTGAGTGATATGAGGCATTCCCACCACCATCCGATTTGAACTCAGTGTAGCCGGCAGTCTGTATCTGTGGGGCTAAGGTGATGGCGAAGGTGACCGCGATCAGCAGCAAAGAGGTTTGGTTGTACAGCCATGTGTAGGGCTGGGTTAGGGTGAACAAAAAGAGTAGCACTAGGAGCACTAAAAAGCAGGCTGTGGGGGCTAGGAAGGTCATGGTGTTGCAGCGGTCACTATTGACCCCAAAGTACACCCCCCAGAGTACAGCTGCCACTGCCAGGTAGAAGAGAACATAACGGAAGCGGCGCTGTGTCTGAGGAAAGCACCTCTCTTGGCACGCCTCCTCCAGGATGGGGGAGTCAAACTTGGGGTCCCAGCACTGGGCAGCAGAGCGTTCAAACAGTGGTGGCGCCTTCCTTAGCACCCTGGAAGTGGTGGCCGCAGCTGGTCTGGAGTCTGCTGAGCTGCAGCTGGAGGAGATACTGTATTTGTGGAGGTTAGGGTTCATTTTACTCACAGCCCCATAGCCCCCAGCTCCTCCCGCTCCACTGCTGGCAGCCCTCAGTGGCTCATGTTGATGCACGTGTGGCGCGCTGTTGGTAATCCGCACGGTCACGGCGCCATCCCCGCTGGAGTCGCAGCTCACTTCCGTGCCATGCATGAGAAGCTGCCGGTGATGTTGCAGAGTGGCCATATTGACTGGTGTGACGAGGAAACGAGGGGGTGCAGAAGAGGTGTTAAATATTAATTATATCTTTTGATGGCGCTCAGGCAATTAGACGCGGTACGTGGGCGCCGTGTGTGCACATGTGGCACGGAGAAAGGGAGGAGGCGGCGGCGAGAGAGTGGCAGGCAGACAGACAGAGAGGGAGAGAGAGAGAGCAAAGGTGTTTGTTGGAATATTCACACTGCATGAATGGTGAGCACGGCACAGACGTCTTTGCTACGCACACAGCAGCCCGCACACTCACTCACACAAGACGCGCCGTTCCAGTTTCTTGAGCAGTTCATTATCCGACCCCGGGTTTGCGTCAGTACTCACATTACATGTATCCTTCTCCAAAGAGGCTCTGGGTTTGAGCCCGGCTTTCTCTCCAGCTGTGGTAGAAACACTGTCATCACTCTTTCTGCCTGCTGAATTGAACATCCTTCTCGGAAAGGACTGGTTAGTGATGCAACGGGGTTTTTTTTTTTTTTTTATGCCTTCATCAAGTCAGTCCTGACGTTACATGGCTGGAAATGATCTCCACTGGATTTGCGCAATATTTCGATACTGCTGACATTACAAAGTCAGATAGCGGCAGGAAAAATGCCCAGATTTTTTTTATTCCGAAATAACGTGATTTGCGTGGAAAAACTGCGTCCAGGTCCAGAGCTTCATTGTATGAGCAGATACAGATAGAGGCTGTCAACAGTTGGCGTTGTGCACAGCAAGTGGCCACAAAAGTTACCCTGTCCCTCTTATCTCCACAACATGCGCGACAAATGGCCCATTTACACTTCCTTTCCCCTCTTAAAAACACCTAACAAATCTTGCCGCTATGAACAGCTGGTAGTGCAAAAATAAAAATGTGTGAACATCATGAATTCTGTCATTATAAAGCATCAAACCTATTAAAAATATATTCAAAAAAGCAATAATTTATCAGCCCTCACTTAAAAGACCCTTTTTAGATAACGTAATTTACTTAATGTGCTTTAAATGTTTTACATAAAGATCCACTCCAATTTAAAATGCAAACTGTTCATTCCGTTAATTAAAAAAGTAGGTGATCTGTAATTAAGGCGGCTTTATCTTCCACTACATGCCCTCTCATGCATGGCTCAGTGTGCTATGGATTTGCATTTTCTATTCCCATACATTCACCTTCCATCTTTATTCTAGGAGACCCTTTAAAATATTCCAAACTGAGTTATTTTGGAGCCCTGTCCAGTCCAAGATCCAGATCATAAGAGGCCTGACAGGCAGGCCTATTCCCACGGATCCAGCCCCGTCCTTTCCTGAACTCCGTCTCCGGATCTTCACCGTTTATTCCCCCTCTGCCTTCCAAAGAGGGGGTCGGGGAGGGGTATGCGCTGTTCAAAGACGCGTAATCCGAAAAGAGAAGCGCAGAAAATACCATCCGCTGGCCCAAATTAGTGTAGGTTTGCCTCTGCTGGGAGTGTCTGCAACTTGTTGCGCGCAGTTGGCAAAATATACAGCTATGAGGAACAGCCTCGGTCGGAACAGGCTGGTCTATAAATAGTGATGATCAAAACTCTTGCAATAACAACACCAACAGCGTGTAACATTTGAAAGTGTTTCTTCAACTTATTCTGAGGAATAACAGGAGCGCTTAAAACAAAAAAACGTAGTACTTTAAAAAAAAAAAAAAAAATCACGTCGTAAAACGCGTGCAAAACGTCAGCGATAGGCCCCCTCTCGTTTTCCAAAAGCTCCCAAACTTTTTTTCCCAGGCCGTATTTCCTGCGTTTGGAGAGGAGACCCAGTTAGGAGTCTCTGGTTATTTGGAGCTGAGGCTGGATTTCCTTCCCTCGCATTCCCCCCTGAGCAAAGAAGCAGAATATCCCCCCAGAGCAATAAAGTAAAAGCCCTCGGATATCTCTTCGGTGGGATTAATCAAAAACCGCCCCACAAACAGCACTATCTCCTTATCTCAACCAATTCCTTAGGTCTGGATAGCACTAGTTTTCGCTGGCATGCATGTGTCCAACAAACACAACACTGTGCGCTCTGGCTGTGGTGCGTCCTCTTCCGTCCGCCGCTGGTTGCCTCCCTTTCTCTCCCCCCCCACATAGCTCTCTGCTGGAGTTGGGGGCTGAATAAAAACAGACCTGCAGCGGGAGCTTGCGGCTGGTTTTCCGTCTTATCCGGGCGAACGTAATACCTCCACTCCTGTAACTACCACCATCTTCGCTGAGACTGGGTCGGAAATCCTCCCCCAGCTGTTGTAGCGGTGCGGGTTGGTGGGACCAGCCTGTCAAGCAAACCACAGTTTCAAAAAACACGGTTTCCGGTCTTGCCTTTCATGAAGGCCAATAAGATTGTTAAATATTTCCACGTGTGATTAAAACAAATATCACTTTACATTGTCTGGTACATCGGCGGATACAGACAGGCCTACAGGGTAGCTCTGATAGATAAACTGTCCTTTGTTGGTTAAAGAAGAACTACTCAAAGACGATTCTGCCATTTAAACACCACAGTAAAAGCGAAATAGTAAAAGGTAATAAATGTACAAATAAATTAGAAATATTAAAATATATAAGTTACAACAACATCGATGACAACAACAAAAATAGCTCATGTTATTAACTGACCGTTAATATTCCAGCTTTAGCTTAAGGCTAGCTATATCTGTTTAAAAACAAGCTTATTTTAAAGTATTATTGGTTTAAGTTTCAGACACAATGGTCATTTATCAACAGAAAGATAAAAAGTAACGTTATGTGAGTCAGAATTAGCCCAGAAGAAGGCACAGTTTCCATTATGTAACGTTAACATATGCTAAACATTAAATAAAACACATTTTGTTCAATGACGCCATATGACTAACGTTATATAACGTTATAATCAGAAATATAGCTAACACAGTGTAGCTAAATAATAGATCTACTGATGCTCGCTGTATTTGGACATTATTGAATTTCATCAGAATGATTCATGCAGTTGATGACAGTTGATGACAGTTAATGACAGTTGATGACAGTTGATGACAGTTAATGACAGTTGATGACAGTTAATCTTAAACGGCTATTTCAATGCTAACTGTTAGTTAGTTAATTTCTAGCTCTGTAAGTTAACTAACGTTACATTAGTTAGCTAGCTGGTATGAATATCTCCATAAGAAGAAGGTATAACTTGCCCGCTGGCCGAATATGATAAATATGAGCCTAAAAGTGAACTAAATTAACATGACGTATTTAACAAACTAGTACCAAAGTAAAATACCAACAGTTTAGCGCCTTTAATTTGAAGGCAGACTCTGACCTCCGGTATCTCCCCGGTTGTCTCTGCCTAACTCGACAGTTGGTGCTGGGTGGGTGTCCGGAGTGGAGCTCGGCTGCGTTCAAGTCACATGAGAATAACCGCCATAACAGTGTCTGCTTTTAAAGCCGCCAACACTGAGGATTTCTGTCCGATTGTCGTTGCTACTGTTAATTATTATCACACCCTAAACACTCAACTAGCACTACTAAGTCAACCAATTGTCCTAAATAAATATTATTAATTACACTGCCAACCACAGGGTAGAAATAGAGGTGCCCTGCCACGACGGTTAAAGAGGTTCTTATATATATTTTTGTTTTGTTTACAATATAACTCCCCAGGACTTGTTTGTTACAGAGATCATATGTTTCCATTTAGCTTATTGCCTGAAACATGACATGGACGATATTATCAAGGTATTAACCTATCCCAGTTTTTCCTATTTAATGTAATGCAGCATAACAACACATTGGAAGGGGGTGCTAATCAGCAAAACTTTGGTGCATTAAATAACCTGCTCCAGACAGCAGTATGGACCAGTTAGTTTGGGCCTAAAGGCATTTGATATCACATTATAGTATTAATATGTAGCCTAATTGTAGAGAATTGTATGAAATTAGATAAACTTGACTCACTCAAAAAAGCTATTATTATTGTTTGCCATTTTCAAAATACCTGGGAGCAGTAGTCCATGACTGTTATTTCACTTTTCAGATTCAGACTGTTTTTAATGTTAGTTGCTGATAAAAGTGCTCTGATTGTATTTAAAGTGGGGGTGGTGGAAAATCGTTTGTACTTAATTATCTCACAATACAAGACAGATGGGAAAAAAACACTTTCAAACAGGGAACTTAATATCAAGCAACAATCGTGTTTTGTGCAAATCTGGAGTGACAGAAAAAGGTGCATTTTCTTGACCATTCTTTAAATTTTCCATTTATTATATTATTATTATTATTATTATTATTATATTATATTATATTATATTATTATTATTATTATATTATATAGTATTGGAATTCACTTGACAAAGACACATTTCAATTTGTAGCACCTTTATTTTTAATATCTGGGGGTGTTTGTTACTGTATCATGGGAATAGTTTTGGACATTTCAATAATGCAAATATAGAAAATAAGGAGGTATGAAAGGAACTAGTCAGTTTGGCAAAAGTTATATCTCCAAGGTCAAGTATATTGAAGAAGGAAATACTATGAGGAAGAAAGGAGGATGGTTTATTGTGCAGTGACCTATTACACAATAAAGGGCAAATTGTGTAGAGGAAAAACAAAAGTATCGTTAATTGTACTGGAGGCATGTTGGCTATCAAATACCCAAGGTGGTATGTGCTCCATTAGTTCCATTAACTGCTGAAGAGATTGAGACAAGGTAACAGGGTTATAGTGACGGATTCCGTGTGCGTGTGTATCTGTGTGTATGTGTGTGTCACCCTTTGAAGAAGCAATAATATTTAAACTTTGAAGCCAATAAAGCAAGTAAGCCTCTCGGCATCATTCAAAAGTGTGTGTGTGTGTGTGTGTGTGTGTGTGTGTGTGTGTGTGTGTGTGTGTGTGTGGGGTGGGTGGCGTGTGTGCATGCTTATGTTCTACAGCTTACACGTGAAGCTTGTTTGTCGAGTTGATAAAGCTGCACTGATAAGTCTGTGTTAACATTGTGCCTACAAACCTCTGCCTGTCAGCTCAGTAAACACTGATTATATACAGAATATGAGCTCAGACGCATATTTAAATGTCTCGCATTTATTACGTGTGCACAGGTGTGTTCATGGCTTGTGAGTGTTGGTGTCATACTGGTGTGGTTGATGTGAACTTCTTACCTTTGGGTCAGCTGCAGGACAACTGCAGATTTTCTTCAAAGTATTTAAGAGAAGAGAAGTGACAAATAGGCTTAAATCTACTCATTTGAAATGGAGAGGGCTTCTTCTTAAATATGTTCCACTTTTAAGAAGCCACGGTATTAGCAATATTAGCATTTTTTATTAGGTTTTTGCTATGCTTTCATCATGGCTTTAGGTACGGCAGTGTCGGTTGGTTTCTACTTCTTTGGTCCAACAGCATTTCCATAAAATCTAGTACAGACATTCATGGTGCCAAGAGGACGAATCTTAATTACTTTATTACTAGTGCCACCAGCAGGTAAAAGTTTTCACTTATCCTGTAAAATATCTCCTCTACTCAGTGAATTGGCACAACATTTGGGACACACATTCATGGTTCCCAGACTGACTGGTAAAGATCCTCTGTGAAACATTTGTCAGAATCTACTGACTAAAATGGAATATAATAGTATGTTTTCATTGTATCGCTGCATTTTTGTTATGTTATGTGTGCGTGTTGCACGTGTCATGGCCACCAAAGTTTCTTCCTTGCACTTGGAAAGGGAGGGTGAAGCGAGTGAATTGTAATCTGCAACACCTACACCTTTAAATTTCCAGTGTGTATAATTTAGGATCTATTGGCTGATTAATGTATAATCATCTGAATATGAGAATCATTTTGTTTTCGTTACGTTAGAGTTTCGTTACTTCCATGGAGATGACACTAAATTCTACACACTGACTCTGTTAGCACCACCATCAGTATTTGCCCAGTACTTTGTTTTATGTCCAGTTAACGTTCCCATCAGCCTCAGCTAAACTTTGGTTAAGTTCTAATTAGCAAATATTAGCTGAAACTAAAGTGCCTTCTTAATATCAGCATGTTGGCATCCTGAACTTAGCATTTAGCTCAAACCATTGCTGTAGACTCATCTTGTTGTGGTCCTTTTTTTCTGTTGTAGCTTCTGACTCAACTACAGGCTATACATTTGGATTCCATGAGACCTTTATATATTACTTTGATTGACTTTGGGTTTATTTTATTGTATTTTATTTTACTTCTTTAAACATTCAAATAAATCCGTCAATCCACTAGTTGAATCTAGTATCAGTAAAAATGACAGACCTATATACTATCAAATCCATAGACTATAGACAGTGCCTAAATGTCCCACTAAACTCTAAACTAAAAAAATAAAAAGGACAATGATCCATCCATCGTTTATCTAGATTATTATCTAGACCCACTGAGGGAAAATGAATGAATGGAAAGAGACTGAATGTAAATATTTATAGTACAGTATGCTCCAGAAGAGGTTGTCACACTGACAGAGAAAATGTTTTAGCAGAATTCCTTAAATGTTGCTCCCAGTATATATTCACAATGTTTTTTAAAGCAAAAATAGTTTGAATTACCTGAGAAAGCAGTGAGAGGTTTGACCATTAACATACCTATTTTATACAAACTTGACACCCAGACTGAATAAACATTTTGTTTCACTGTATTGATTCTGTTTGAACCCCCAAACAAATCTTAGACGTGGGCGGTAATTCAGAGGTCTGTATCCAAACTAACAGTGAACCTTCATTGAGCAAGGTTTTACATCAGCAGAAAAAAAAAAGCTGTTTTAACTGAGAATCTGAAGGCTAAAATGAACAGGGCGCTGGAAGAAATTGAGCATGGTTAAAGGAAATCAGAATCAGAATCAGAATCAGAATTTTTTCATTTTTTTGCCAAGTAGGTTTTTACGCCTACGAGGAATGTGACTTGGTGCAGTTGGTGCATAAAATATACACATATACAAATACAAATATACAAATATACAATTATTCAAATCACACAAAAATCACACAGAAAAATAAAGTACTTTCAAAAATAAATAGATAAAGATAAGAAGAGAAAGAGAAAGCTGTGCAGAAGAACGTGGGTGCATTAATGTAATGCATACTTTATATACAGGGTGGGTATAAGAGTCAATGACAGTGGGTAATCTGGGCCTTGTTAAGGAGGCCAGCTGCAGACTATCAGTCAAAGACACAAATGCTACAACATGCATACACAGATGTAAAAAAAAAAATGTATTAAAAAGAAGTCGACACTGAGAGTCAAAAATAGTAATCATTATCTGTCATGGTGATGTGTCACATT